CAGTTCAAGAACAGTATTTTTTATGATCAAGTTGAAGGTCAGGAGAATGTCAGTGGTAAGAGAGAACACCATCTTTCCTCTGGCAGGTCAAAGCTGATGTATTTCCTAGTGTCTGTTGGAAGATCTCCCCTGGATAAAACCGGTTACTTGTTTTGTATACACAATGTCTTTTCTTTGACCCACCAGCGTGGGCATGACTGTTCAGAGGCAGACGATGCAAAATGCTCTTTAGCTGAACTGAACTGTCTTGCAGCTTTAGAATTATAAATGTTCTGTACCTCGCCTTTTTCTGGGCTGTCAGATCCAGTAACATCACTACGATACACCTGAGAACAAGACCACCACTAACCCCTGTGTTTGCCAAATGACCTTTGCAGTTTTCTGGGATTTTTAAAATATTTCTTGAATTTTGATTTTATGTTGGCAAACTGTGCACTGGTTCCCAAGTGTCCAGCCACTGTTCAAAATGTAATCCAGTGAAATTTGAGATTATTAATGCTACAAGACACTCGTAACTTTCCCCTGAAAATCAGTCTGTATTGACTTAATGGCTAGGAGGAATGAAGTATTTATTTAAGAAATGAATGGTACTACAGTGACTATCCTGCTGTTACGGAGTTGTTAGGGTCAGTATGTAATAATATTTAGCCTGTTGTCCTTTTGTTGCCAATCACACTTGGGAAGGCAAAAAAGAAAAGGAGGGAAAAAAGATGATCTTGTGGATGATGATTAAAAACAGCTGCTGTCCATGTGAAAAGAAACTCTTCTTGTAATTCAAAGTGCAGTGTGTGAATGAATTAAATTGTACCAGAATCTGCAGTGATCAGGAACATGGAATTTTCTTTTTTTGGTTGTTTTTTCTTTCCCCTAACTAGTTAAATAACTTGAAATATCTTTGCCTTATCCATGTAGGTCCTTTCCTAACAATTACTGGGACAAATTTGTAAAACGGAAGGTAGGCTTTTTATATTTCTCTTATGTTAGTCATAGCAATAATCTGCTATTCAGTTAATTTGGATATTGATGTGTAATATACTCCTATGCACATAAATATACAAATAATTGAGAACTGAAATTTCTTTTATGGAAGTCATTGTTGTGGTATGTATCTTGGTGAACAGGCAGCTGCAGCGTAGGTGGGAGGAGGGAGGAAGACAGAAGGCTGTGGTTTCCTTCCTAGACACAGGCATTCGAAATAACTTTGTGCTGTCAATCAGCTATGCAGGTCTAATTTACAGTCATTGTCATCTTTAGGATACAAAGCCCCCTCATCCCCCTAAAATAAGAAAAACATACCAGCTTAAGTGACGGCAAATTATACATAAGCTTTCAGATAATAGCCTTTAATGTTTCTGTTTTTCTTTTTTATGCTCCCCCCTCTCCCCCCACCTGGCATCCTGCGAGTTCTGACTGTTCCCATAGTTTTAATTGTGAAAGACCTTTATTTTTAAATTTCTGACAACTACTGGCTTAAGGTAGGGTGAATGTCACCAAGGGCTTTGAGCAAAAGCTTCTCATCCATTTTTAGGTTATTAACAAGTACGGAGACTTATACGGAGCACAGCGCATAGCAGAACTTTTGGGTTTGGACAAAAGTGCCCTTGATTTTAGTCCAGTGGAAGAGAGTGAACCAGAAGAAGCATCTCTTGTGTCATGGTATGACTTCTGAACTTCACAGACAAATTGTGTGTTGGCATAACTTCACTGTCAAAGATAAAACCAGATTTTATATTGAAACTGCAGTGATGTGTTCCCCGGCATGGAAAATTCAAATGGAAAAGTATTCCTAGTGTGGAAGTAAAATAAAAAATGCTTTTTGTTTGTTCTTTAGATCTGTATTATAAAATTAAGAAAGAAAAAATCCCATGGGTTTATGCTGACTGATATATCTGGGCACTCTCTTATTTTAAACAATAATCAATAACGCAGCATTCAGAATTTCTTTAGGTGTTACAACAGAGCTAGTTTATCTACTGAAGGACAGAAAAAGTATTTATAACAACTGTCTAGATGCCAAATATCTAGAAACAATTCAGAGATGCTTTCCAGACTTAATCTGTCAGTAAAGATGACAGTTTGAAAGTGTCCATGTCCCAGATGATTTAGGCTCCTGCAAGGGTTTGGTTTCCTTGACACTTAGAGTACACAAGAAGAAGGATTTCCATTCTCATGTCACCTAACGCTAATAAAATATTCAGAATCTTGCAGAAGGCATTGTCTTTTCTCCTGGTAATTCTGGCAGCATTTTACACTAGACAGAACGCTTCTCTCTTGAATTCAAGCCATTCAGGTTCCACATTTCGTTACTTTTAAGACGCATTTTAATTTTTATAAGTCTGGAATATGGCAGTATCACTCCTGTTGAAATTGTTCCACTGGTTTCAATGGTTTAGAAACTCTGTGTGGGTGCTTAATGAGCATTCCCTGAAAAACGGAGCACCTGCATCATTCAAAAAATAAACAGCTAATGTATATCACCACCTTCAGCAAACAAACGTGAAGTGCCCAGCTAGTTTATATTTACAGAATTCAGTACTGAATTTTGACATTGATGCACATCAAACATTTTGTGTTTCCTAGGTTAAGCTCCATTGATACAAAGTACCACATCTGGAAGCTGGGAGTTGTTTTCACTGATAATGTGAGTATGTTAGCCTAGAAGCTTTGATTTACTCTAAACAGAATTGTATGTGTTCCACCATCTGCTTTTATTTTAAATAGACCTAAACCAATAATACTGCATTACAGAGCCATTTTAAATTAGTTTTTTCTGTCTTGTGTGGAGCAAATTGCTTTAATGTATGTTAGAATTTTCTTTTTGATTCCAAGGGCAATATGCACCTCCTCACTGTTAACATGATGTCAGCATTTTGGAAGTTAATGGTACATTCATTTAATTTTGTAGAAATCAATCTAGCAAACAAAGGTGTCTTCCCTAAAACCAGAGTCTACAGAAAGTTATCCTTTTTTATTCTTGAATCATGTTTGACATGGTTGGTTATTTTCTTTCATACCTTCTCTCCTCTGAAAGGGCCACGCTCATATTAAAATTACCGTTTATGTCAATTCTCTTCCTGCATCCTCTTGAGCATTCCCAAATGAACAAGGCCAAGGTGAATCAAGTGAAGATATATAAATTCATTGTGCACTAAAAGCAGACTATGCCACTGTTCTTCCAGAAAAGCTTTCACATCAGAGTGGCTTCAGGTTCACTGCTCGTCAAAAGAATAAGCTGTATTATGTGCCGTGGCTGTCCTGGTGGACTTAAACATTGAGTAAAGTGTCTCAAGGGTAATATAGTGCATTTTCTCTCCTCCAGACTCATTATTAGAATTTAAAGTACTGTGTAACGAGCTCCCCAGCCAAAACACTTTTGAGGCAGGGGATTTTGATGTTAATAAATGAAGTCTTCAGCATGTATGTTAAATACGTAAAGATAGAAGTCTCATTAGCATAACTAAGCAATGAACACTTCTTAAATGAAGAGTGGAGATGATAAGAGACAGAGTTAGAAGGCCTTTCTGATCACGTAAAACAGAGGTATTGCATTCAGACTGTGATTGATTCAAATCACATCTTGATCGGATGACTTTTTTCATAACTTCAGTGACTAAAACGGAGCCGTATTCTGGATCCAGTAACGCACGTGAGCGCCTGCTAACACTCCACCGCTTTCTGCTTTCTCTGCAGTCCTTTCTGTACTTAGCTTGGTACACGACTATGTCGATCCTTGGGCACTACAACAACTTCTTCTTCGCTGCTCATCTGCTGGATATTGCTATGGGTTTCAAGACGCTGCGAACCATTTTGTCTTCAGTCACTCACAATGGCAAACAGGTCACTGCTACACACAACGGTTTGAAAATAAATGTGTTCCATAACAGTACCGGAAAACCCTCGTGGAACCTAGGAAATGTTGGAATGCAAACCATTTTGATGAGTACTGGACTAAAGAACAGATCCCATTGTGTCTGCTGCAGGATATTTAACACATGTTAAAATCTATGAAATTATAATAATCCATACCCACAGAGTGCGGGTAGCTAGAGAAATTTTGTACACAATAGCAATATGCATCATTTTAGAAAAAATACAAGAAGATGAATTATGACCTAACCAGCTCCTTCTCCATGCTCAGTGATGACCTGAGTGGTGATAACCAATAGGAATGCACAGTCTCTCCTTAGCTACAGAAGTAACAACGGTCTGAGTGCTGAGGTTTCCATACTTAGCTGTACGAATGTGCTTACAGGTGTGGGCATTCTGCACTGTGGAATATATTTATATGTCACTTTGTCATGCAAAAATCAGATTAATAAAATCTACTTCCAAAACTAATTTTTGAAGCTTAGGCAGGGAATCATTCTCTGATTTCTAGAGGCCCTGTGCTCCTAGCTAGAATATCAACAAAAATAAGCTGTGCACTAACACACTTTTTAACGTACATTTAAGAAATCTAGCAGAGCTTCCTCAAAATTTAATTTCAAACATACACATTCCATTCCTTCTCAAATGCAGCAACATGTATTCTAAGCCCACTTTTATGTCCTGTTAGACATGACAAAGCATTTTAAACCATGTAACATTTTGGAAAAGGCATAAAAATACCCCTTAAGCTTAACTGTGGTATGTCCTTTGTATTTGCTTAATCCGTTCTTTGAGCAGAAACTGACCAATACAAGGTTCTTCCCTTACCAGGAAAGGAAGTTCCTAAAATGGTACATATGAGAATGTTCTCAGTATCATCACACAAACAAATTAAACCTCTGTTTTTATCCTCTTCATTTTCCTCCAGGTAGATCAATCATATTACCTTTAATTTAACGATGGATACATTTTCTTTATGAGATGTTTTTTCTAAGTGTAATACTCAAAACCGAGCATAATTGACAAAACTGTTTCAACTCAACACCACACTTTTTAGTATATGTTCTTAACAAGGAAGTTGAGTTTTTCTAACCCTGATGCTTCTTTTGCTGGTAGATATGAATACTGAAAGAGAGCTGCAGACATTTCAATCTAAATGTTCACTTTGGGAGCATACTTAGACATCTGCAGAAAGCGATAAAAACTGACAATTGGCTTGTTGTTCAACACACATTTAAAAGATTGTTGCACTTTTTAAAATATGTAGCCTTCAGAAACTCCTTTCTATAGCTGCATCTTCTAAGGCAAGCTCCAACAAACAGTATAATCTAGTCTCATTAATTGCTGAACTTTTTCACCTCAGGACTTTGTTTAAATGCAGGACCTAGAAATTACTTACTCTTTGATTATCTAAAGCTTCTATCCACTTTATAGATGGCTTTGCTAACCAGCTTTGGAACAGAAAATAGACTATGAGAAGTGATAATAAGTCCCAGTTGAAATTATTTATCAAATTAACTACGGGGGTTTATTGTTTAATTTGCACTGTATATCGATTTCTTCAAGTTACTAGAGTTTTACTTTTGAATTAGTGGAAACATTGCTTCAGTGATACATAGTTTGTTTGTGTACAGCTCAGAAAGATGGAAACAACTTGAGTTTCTTGATATTGTTTTTCCCTAAGATTTTCACTTGAGAGCACGGTAATGCAAAAGCTCTATGCTGATCCAAGCAGGAGGGAGACCTCAGCCTACCATAACTGCTGTCTTTATTTTCCTTACTGGGAATGCTGCAGTATGATACATTTTCAGTATTTAAGGCAGTACAGTGAGCTGGTGTATCTCTTCTGAGAGAATGAAACTGAAACCTACTTCCTTGTCACGTCTCCATCCACAGCTGGTGCTCACTGTAGGACTCCTCGCCGTCGTGGTGTATCTTTACACCGTTGTGGCATTCAACTTCTTCCGCAAATTCTACAACAAAAGTGAAGACGAAGACGAACCGGACATGAAATGTGATGACATGATGACGGTAAATAAAACATCACTACCGTGCCTCAAATTCCATCTTGAATTTTCAAACGGATACGTAAGATAATGATAAACAAGGAGGGAAGTTTTTGTTAAATCCACGGGTCTCCTCTTCTTGCTATATGTCGTGTTGAAAATGTGAATGATCTTGGAATTCCCTCTGGATTCTCCAGTGGTCATAACTCAACAGTAGATAGATGGCACTCACCAGTACAGGAAGGTATTCTGGAATTTTCTCTTAAATACTGTGGCATATGATTTGCTGCCACTCTTTTACATGTGGAGATGGCAAACTCTTAAAGTATATGGAAGAAACTTCATGACAAACTGGTCAGCCCTGCAAAAAACAGCTGTGGTGTTGCAGCACCCGAAGTTTGTAAGCGTGCAAGCTCTTCCCATCCTTATTAAGGTTATATGAATTATGTTATTAGCACTCATTATAAAATCCTGCTCTAAACTGCTTACAATTAGGAATTTAGCCATGAACTAAGTCAAGGGTGAGTAGAGAAGGGGAAAATAAAAACTTTTTATGGGTTATAATCTGATGCTACTCATTTCCCCTCTGATTTCCACCTATTGCCACAGAATGTTATTTGTGTCATATTACAGGATACTCAAGAGATACGTTTTATGGTATAAAGAGGATTTGATTTTCTTACTGTAAGCAGAAAACAGCACAAACTCAGGTATTAAAAGTGTAATATTCCGAGTTTGTGGCCAGCTCATTTCTTCCATGGAATAGTCATCCTCTGCCCTGTGTAATATCCCAAAGACAGAATAAAATGCCTCAGAGCAGAGGTGTGTGATGGACATCACAAAATAATCTTCCCTATTCCCGAACTTTCTTTCAAACCCAACAATCATTCATGGTAAATATATCTGTAATTTTCCTCTCTCTTTTTTAGTGTTACCTGTTCCACATGTATGTGGGTGTAAGAGCTGGTGGTGGCATTGGAGATGAAATTGAGGATCCTGCTGGAGACCCTTATGAAATGTATCGAATTGTCTTCGACATCACGTTTTTCTTCTTTGTCATTGTTATCCTGCTGGCCATCATACAAGGTACCATCACTTGCCTTAGCAGGGACTGTTAGAGTTCAGTTTACTTAAGTATTCAAACCATATTTGCGTTTCAGGTAAATTTAGAAGTATTGCTATAAAGACTTACTTCTGAGCTGAGAAAATCATTCATTCTGAAAGTAATAATTTTATCCTTAACACATAAATAATGCATCAATGTCCCAAGTGCTACACAAAGACACAGCACAGGAATCAACCTACCTGGGTTACAGTGTTTTCGAGCACTTTGACAGCTATCCCGCAGCGACCCAGCTTGCGCAGCATCGCTGTTCTTCCCGTAATCACCATTTTAACTCGGAGAACCTTGCTGTAGGCGCTCTTCATGCCTTTAGTTTGGAACCAGCAGAGCTGGCTGGGGAATAGGGAAATGACGTGGAGGAAGTTACTGTGGCCACATACCCATTTCCTCCTTTCTTTAGAGGACGATTTGCCGTTTAATTGGTTTGCTGCTGTGGTTTACTTCTTCAGTGACTGTCAGTATTCGACACTTGCCATATTCTTTCATGGGATCAAGAGATGAGATTACGGGAGCTTAAACTGACCAGAATATAAGGACAGAAAAATCTTTCCGCTCTCAAGACGATAATTCTATGTGGGAGAAATCCATAAGGCTAGGAGTGCAGCGTAAACGAATGTTAGCTGCCTGCAAACTGACAGATTGTAACTGGAATTGTTCAACCCAGGCATGAGTATGCTGAGCTTCCAAGGCAGTGGAGGATGTCTGACAGAGAGTACTTGAAATACGAATACTGCTAAGTGCTGAAGCGTTCCTACTTTTCCATTTGAATTAGGTCTGATCATTGACGCTTTTGGTGAATTAAGAGACCAGCAAGAACAAGTGAGAGAAGATATGGAGGTAGGAGTAAGCACATCACATTTTTCACTACTCTTATTCATCTAGACTGTTACCAGTTAAAATAAGTGTCTTGGAGTTAAAACTCATTTGTAACCACAACTTGTTCCCAGACCAAATGTTTCATTTGTGGAATCGGCAATGACTATTTTGACACAACCCCACACGGCTTTGAAACCCATACTTTGCAAGAACACAACTTGGCAAACTATCTGTAAGTATATTTTACTACTGAATTACAACAAAGAGACCTTTCGGCCCCAGAGCGATTTAGGTGCACACATTGCTGGCAATCCTAAGGCAGAATTCTGTGGAACTCAGGAATATCCCCATCCCTTTCTGGTCTTCCCTCCTCTACTCCACACTGCTGGTTATCTTTGAAGTGCTCACCTTACACATGAGCTACCCCAGTGGAATTAGATCTGAAGGCGCACCAGCTCCTTATTCCTCTGGAGGAAACCTAGATATGCGGAATGATAGGGAAAAAGTCTTCAGTAAGTTGCTTTAGTTCGGAAGTTTTGATTGTGACTTCTGGGGGCTTGGTAACGTTGACGAGTCCATTGAGAATTAATCTCAATTTGACAAAAAGAAAACTCTTACCAAAACATTTTTAAAAATACCAGAACAAGCATTTCTGGAAGACTCCTGAAAGATAAGCTACAAAACCTAAGATACAAGTCTGTAGTTCTCTAGTGACAGTGCACCTTCCCGAAACCTTGAAGCAGTCGGGAGCTGGATGTGTTTAGCCTATTGCCCACACTGCCAAGACAGCGATCACCTACTTTCTTTAGTAAATACGGAGCAGATCACAGAGGATATTTAAAAAGTTAATTTGGTGGCATTAGTTACTCATACAACAAGGGTAATTGTATGAGCCTTGTGCCAGCAGAATCAAAGGAGCTGAACTGGTGGTGTCTTACGGAAGTCTGGCTTTGGAATATTGCAGCTGAACTTTTTAAATTAAATTAAAAGAAAACAAAACAAAAGCGTTCCTGCTGGAATGGAGGCTGCATTATTCCTTTCATACCAACTGCCCCCACAAAATCGATGGACATTACTTTTGTGAGGCATGCTTTCATTAATATCCAAAGTTTTACCAGTCTACAAGCTCCAAGCTTTTCTTATTATACAGAATTGCTTAGTTGGTATATGGGAACCTGCAATTCACAGTAAATTAAAAATGGCCAGTTCCTTAAGATCAGAATATATAGTGACCAGTCTTTCTAACCAGATTCCCTTTTAATCAGGCAAAATGTTGAAGTCAATATACCTTCTTTCTTGACAATGAAAGCATGTACCAAGCTTAATTCCAAATGCACTGCATCAAAAGCCTCTAACCAAGAGTTGTGCTGCGTGCAAACAGACCGCTGTTAGTACTCTACACCCTTCCTGCTCAGTCCAAGCTCTCGGCACCAGAGCGAGCACAGCTGTGTGAGGCTCAGCTTGTGAGCTGTACCACACGAGCGCCTGCAAATCCTGGTGCAGCCGAGTATTTGCCACAACTCCTTGCAGGGTAGCCAAGAGTAACTTCCTGCCCGGTGAGATGTTGGTGCGTATGTGTGCAGGAGCTGGCAGGCACCTCATTTGGGTATGGCTCCCAGCACTGAAATGAAGGAAATGCTAAACCACGTTTGCCGTCTGTTAGCGCTTCCACAGGAGAAGTGCTGGAGGACAGAGTTTTCTCCCTCAACATCAGCACTTCCGACACCTAGCAACATCATTACTGTGCTGGTTGGCATAATCTCCCTCACCTACCCCAGTCTAGGAAAGGTTAGGCAGAGATGTTACTTCTTCCGCATTCATATCCGCTCCATGTGCTTGTTTCAGGTTCTTTTTAATGTATCTCATTAACAAGGATGAAACCGAGCACACCGGCCAGGTGAGTAGAAAATAAAACATCTTTTTCGTATTGTCTTTCAACGTTTTTACCTTCTCCAGCCTTGTAGATGTGTACCACCAGGTGGAACTGATGTACCACCAAGGAGTGGAGGAGAGGCCACCCTCACAGAGATCCTTTTGCAAATTAAAGGGTTAAAAAAACAGCGAGAGGGTGGGCTGCAGTAGTGTGCTGTTCTACCCAGCACTGAACTCTGGCAGAGGCCAGTTACCTTACCATCATCTTAGCCCTGAAATGAAACCGAGTTTCCTGGGAATGACCTACAGCTAGTATATTTAAGCAGTTAAAATACTGTATTTACAGTCTAAATCCATATATATGTACATATAGGTCAATATATGGATGGATGTATGTTTAGTGTTGTCAGGTCCTAAATGTAAATAAATAAGAAAATAACTAGGGTTTAATTATACCTTATTTCAAAGAAGAACCTATTGCACAAACACTACAAAAGGACCTGCCACTTCAACGTTTGCCAAGCAACCTAAAGCACATTTCACAGACCCAGACTGTGTACAGGTTTGCTCTGATGTAACTCAACTGAGTAATTTACACTGCGGCGGTTTTTCCACTAGGGTGTAAATTTCAGTAGTACTGAGGCAAGGAAAGTGCAGAACAATGCTCCTACAAACATCCTTCAGTGACGGTCTTCTGGGTTTCAGTGTCTTCGTAGTTCTACCCCACAGAAACAGGCGCCGTCCCGGCTCAGGGCCAGAAGTTTATCTGGAGCACTGACTGAAAGGTACTGTTAAAATAAACACTCTTTATCATTTTCAGGAGTCATTTGTGTGGAAGATGTACCAAGAAAGATGTTGGGATTTTTTCCCAGCAGGGGACTGCTTCCGGAAACAGTATGAGGATCAACTTGGCTAATATCACAAAAGAGATTATTTATTCATGAACTGTTAAGATCCAGTATACAAAAACCCTTCCTTTTCTTTTCATGGTGTAATTTCACAGCTTGTATTTGCTTTAAATGTCTTCAAATTTCAAGACATACATAAAATTTAACACTATTTCATATGTTTTTTGTACCTACCACATATGAAACAGATCTTTTGCTGGAATTTTAATTAGAAAACTATGCCAGATTAACTTAAACCTTCCAGTTCACACATGGTCCGAAACTACAACTTTTTAACCACGTCGTTAAGCGAGTGTTTGGCAGTACAGCTGAAAGGGCTACAAGGTGTCTTAATTGCACAACATTTGACATTTAAGAACTTGAACATCAGAGGCCATGCCTCAGAAAAATATTTTAGCTAACTGCTGTCCAGTTTTCCCCCCCCAGTATCTGCTAGTGAATGTATTAAGGTGCAGCTTGAAAAGCTTTAAGCAGTTAAAACATTTTCCAACACTTTGTCAACCTTGAAACATTAAGTGCCTTAAAACCTCTGTAGACATAGCTATGCAAACTTTTTATTTCTGTTAGTGTTCTAGATGACCAGACCCATTAACTGTACTGCTTTTCTGTCTCTCTGTACGAAACCGCACTTGAAGTTTGTTTATATACTGCCTTCAATAACAGCTTATTAGATGCTGCTGTTAAAAGACATACACTGTATCAAAACGAATTCAATTTAAGTCTTAGGCCAAAATAAAACAATGCTCTATGGTGACCTGCAAGTAGAAGCTCCTAGGATTATGCTTTTTTTTTTTTCCTTCTTCTAATAAAAAGTGCCCCCTGCAATAAAGTATTATAAATCAAATATCACCCTTTGCTGTCTTCTTTCTCCTTTTTCCGCAGTATGGACATGGCCCGGGGATGGTGACTAAACACACATGTACTCACTGCTCATTCACAGCTTTATTTTAAGGACTACACATAGCAAGTACAAGCTGCAATCACTGTTCTCTTAGTGCGCTGCAGCCTGCAAATTTCACCACAAATTTTAGACCTTTCTAAGAATATTAGTCTTCGACAATTTACAGTTATACCTAAATGAATTTTGATTGCCCAGAATTGTAGGTGCCAGCAAAGAAAAAGCAGGCATTTGGCATACTGAACAAAATGAAACAGATGAAGGAAATAATGAGGAGATAAAGTAGAAAGTTGAATCCTCCTGTACGTTTGCTGTTGTTCACTTTCATATCAGAAAGCGTGAGCTTCAGGAAATCATGCTGTCCAGCCAATCTTCAAGCTCCTCCTCAGTAACATTTTTAGATGCACTTTGTTGTTGCTGTGGTGCTGTACTCTTCTCTTCAGGCACATCTAGTTTTAAAGGGTCTAGAAAAGTTGAAAGAACAGACATGAAAATCTGGAAACAATTCTGTAACGGCTCTTTGTCCCAGCTCATTTTGATGCGCAACTGACTATGTAAACACAATCTCTCTCTCTTGAAGAACAGTGAGTCATATTCCAAAAATAGCAGCAACAATTAAAAAAAAACCCAAACAAACAAACCACCAAACATCGAACTGAGGCAGCTCGACAAGCTCCCGCGCAGCCATGAGGCTTCCATGTGACTCACGGGGGGGCTTGGCCTGGTCTGCAGCAGACAGGGTATAAGTACTGTTCCCAGCCCTGCCCGGTGCAGAGTTTAATACAGGAGAGGAGCAGGAGGCCACAACAGCTTATCATTACAGCATGATGGGATTCCATATTCCAATGGCATTGTTTTCTTAAGGGATTTACACTGTGCCTTGGAAGGGAAAGCCCAACCTACCACTGGAATGAATGAGCGTTTTAGGATTCTTTACTAACGAGGCTTGCTTGAGGTGACATCTTACATGTTCAACCAGCTTGGACTTAATTTTTAAGATGGCAAGAAAATCATAGATGGAAAGTCAGAGATGCTAAATGCTCTTCTACAGCCCTGTGGGTTGGGGAGGAGCAGCAACACACCTCTGTCGAAACTACCGAACAGGAGCGTCGCTTCTAGCAATGCAAGCTAAAGGAAGGGTTTGCTGGTTTTTCTGAAATCTGAAAATGTTTGTATGTGTTCTGTTTCCATGCTAAACTTAATTTTGTAAAATCAATGCTAGTAAAAGTTTGAAAAGAGCATTTATAACAAGCCACCAGAGAGCGCCGTCAATTCTTCTGTACACTGTTAGCACAGTGACCTAAGGGCTGACAATGCTACACAAAAACTTTATCTTCCTCACTAAAATTCTCTAACAGTACATTCAGTTTTTTAATTTGTTTTAATTTTTACTGAATCATAAGACCAATGCTGTTCTGCAGAAGAATTTCTCTTAACGCTTAAAATGAACTGACAATGGTGAAACTTGAGTTCAGTGGGGAGTGAAAACTGCAAAGGAACAAAGGGCTCAGAACACCATAGCCCCAGAAAAAGGAAATGCAGTATGGCAGGGATGACGACAGCAGTACTGTCAACTGGCTAATCAAGAGTTCAAAATCATCACCAAAATAGACAGCAGTGGAAATTCAGTAAGGACATGATGCGGAGAAATCTTACCATCTTCTTTACAATCCATTTGCAGATCTTTCTCAGTTGATATTTTGTAGGATAATGCAGATGACACAGGTCTGTTTTCTGTATCAATGGGAGCATCTAGATTTAGGAGAAGATCCAGTTCTTCATCCAAATGGTCAGTCTCTTGCTTTGACAGTGGATGGTCTCTCTGAAATGGTTCTGCTGCACCTGCCCTAGGACCATTTTTACTTCCAGGCTCTGGTGGAGCAACAGAATCACCAACAGGATGGGAGACCAACACCGTTCCACTTTGAGCCAGAGGCTGTCGGAACAGCAGCTCTCTCCTCTTGCTGTCTTGAGCCAGTTTAGATTTCAACTGTGGGAGCTCTACAGGTGCTGATGCCTGCGAATACAAGAAAGAACTTAAATCTTTCTTAATGATAAACTCCATTTTTACTACTGTGTCTAATTTGGATTGTAACTCATGCTTCCTACGTTTGATAACTAATTTTACTTTTAGTTCTGAATTCAGTTCTGCTGAAATTCATTGTACCTTCTTAAGTTAACTTGAAGATACAACTAAAAAATATAAAATCCTTTTATCCTTTATTACAGAATATGAGATTGTATGCTAAATCAGCAACTTCCATTGTTTCACAAATACTCCCTGGAGAGTTGCTTTTCTTTAATTCTTCTGTAATTAAATTCCATCAATACTCTGAATTTTTGAAAACTGAAGTCAGAATGTGGCTAGATACTTTATCCCACATTAGGCTTTCCCTCCAAAATTCCAGTCTTGAAAGCAAACCATCCTACAGGTCGCTGAAAATCATTCAGCAAAAGTTACAATATACACCTGTGTATTTTGAAAAATGAAACCAAATCACAAAATATAATCAAGTAGGGAAACAAGACATAGCAACTCAGTGTTTTACAGTGGAACACAGATTCTGCTTTTCCCAGGATGTCCTGGGATTAATAACACTACAGCCTGTCTGATGACCACATCAATGGTCAGAATGACAAGACAAAGTAAATGTTACACACACTTTATAGCCCTTAACTAGAATTATTACAAAGAAAATTGTATTTGAAAGTAACATTTATTTGCAGATTCCCTTAGACATCACATCTGCAGACGTATTTGAGCTCCCTTAACGGAAGAACATAGTTGTGTCAATCACAGAAGCAGTACATGCAACACTTAATGGAAGTAAAATTTCTTCTGTAAGGGTCATGCTTCTTTTTCCTTGCTTGAACAGATGGATTTTATTTTAAGACTTTTGGTTTTATATTTAAGTCTCATTGTTTCTTTTGTCCTTAGATGAATACTTTCTTTTTCACAGACTGGAGAAACAATTTTTCCTAATACTCTGTTGCGTGTGGGTTTTGTTTGTTTTCCACCAGAACATAAATGACATTTTCTTCACGTGTTTGATTGACAGTTCTACCTGTTCTAACACAGATGTAGGTTTGATTCATGTAACAAACATGTATGTTGATATGAGCTATGTAGAAGAATAAATAACATATAAAAATAAAAAAAAGGAAAGAACATGAAAGCTGTTTCCAAATTTTGGAGCAATTTTTTAACAGCTGCCAAAAAGGAGAAGTAAATACAAAACCAGTGCAATCATTCCAAGTCAAACACTCTGAGGACTGGCTTCAAATCTAATGTGCTGCACATGGAAGCATTTTGTTTAAAGCCAACAAGCATAAAAAGTGCTGACAGAGGGGTATCCTGCATCACATGCCACTTGGCATCCCAGTTCTCAAGAAATATATGTAATTATAAAATATATTCTACCTATCTTTGAAGACCAAGTGTAAAGCAGTCATTCTTGCACAGATTGGTTCACTTAAACTACTTGTATTTTCTTGTGAAAATTCACAGTGTTACCTGCACGAGTTCAGCAGCCACATTCAGCCTCAGATGCAGAGGCAATTCCTGAAGGGCCTGGGCCAATGACTGGCAGTCAACAGAAAGGGCAGATAACTGAAATACAATTCAACACACAATACTCTTGTATTAAAAAAAACCCAAACAAACAAAAAACAAACAAACAAAAAAACCTAATAATGACTTTAATCTATTACGTTCCCCTGTTCCACACATTCAATGAATGTGAAGAACAATCTAATGAAAGACCAGAATTCATAGTTTGAAATTACACAGGTACAAAGCAGTTTGGCTAAATTACCACATAAACACCTACAATACAAATGATCACTGTAAAAACAAAGGATGAAGTTTTAAACAAGGTATAAATGGAATGCTCCTTAGGCAATGCCTTGAAAATCCAAAGTAGGAAATAGTTTTGCAAGTTGGCAATGGCATAAGAGGCTTTTCCATCTCAAACATCATTTATCTATGAAGCTTTCTATGCAGTGGGCGGCATCATTCTTTAACGAATTGCTAGTATTTTCTAAGTAGTCAAAACATGTAGCTTGTGTGTAGCTCTACTGGTTTTAGTGGCTAAACAACATTGCTCTTTTTATACTTTCCTATCTTAACATGCTGTTTTCATGCTTACAAAAGCAACAAACTATACACACATCAGCAACAATCGTAGTGCCTCTGTGATTTGTTTAAGAAGGGGAGGGAAAGGAAAAGAGAGAGGATTCGCAGCAAAGAGAGAGAGAAAGATGTGACAGCAACAACTCTACAGAGACCCTGGTCAGTGCAGAAGGTGGGGAGGAG